TCCCTGCCAAAGTGTCTTTGCCTAAGGGAAATTTAAGCAGTTGCTAAATAACCCACAACGAAAACACAAAAAGATCGCACAGAGTGATTTGCCACGGTGAGAAACACTCTTTGCTTGAGAGATGAGTGTTTGCGTCAGTGGTAAACACCATACGAGACACTTGGTGACGGTTATTTTCGATCTCTGCCTGCGACTGACAAGTGTAGGAAGGTTAATAAGTTTTAAGCAACTCGTATAAGGTGGAACATTATATTGAGAATCCCATCGGAAATTTCTTAAAGCAAAAAGTATTAATTGTTTTTGAATTGATTCTATCTTGTCTGAGTAAATTTGATACATTGGATTCCAAACCACCGACGCGTATTCCATAATCGGTCTAACTAATGTTGTAAACAGGGTTTTAGTGATATAAGGGTCACTAAGTTCTTTTGACCATCGTTTCACAAATGCAAGTACATCTTTAGCCTCGTTTACTGTCACATTAATGTGAAGGTTAAAATTAAGTTTAGGATCCATTGCGATATATGTATATTAACACTGACGGAATTTAAGTTGAGGCAAGGCAAAACATTGTTTGAACAAATTGGCTGAAATGTCTGTCAAAAACAATAAAAAAAATGTTTTTGCATACGGTTTTTACATGGAAGGATAAAGAATTAAAGCTATCTCCTCCATTCCAGACTTAAAAAAACTATTAAAAAATAATAAAATATGTAAATACATATGTATGTACCTGTTTTTTCTTTTAAACGATACTTAATTCACTATCGTACAAGAACGCACGTTTATTTAATACTACGATCAAAAAGTTTTTGGTTTTCACAAACCAAGACAATCGAAAACACGATATCGTCAGACGATTATCGGCATACGTGATTCATGGCCAGTTTTGTATCTCATTAAAATTGAGCATAATAAAGTGCGAGTGGAAAGTGCTGCTCCTTTGCTTCTCTTTTAAAAAAAAATTCGAACATACCAAAAATTAACGGTAAGTACTAGCAACTTCAAAATTGCACTGTAATATATTAAAATTTCACGAATTTTTTAAAGAAACTTTGCGGGGTAAAAATCTCGTGAAAAATATCCTACACATTTGTGATGTTACTATAAGGATGCTGTTTCAGGGCTTATACATGTAGGAAGAAGCCTTTAAGATCTGTAAGTTTTTGTGAACTAAATTTGCAAAAATAATTTTTTTTTTCCCCGTATTCGGCTCCCATAAATATGGTCACCGTAACTATAGCTATCGTATGGCAATACCCAAATTGAACGATTTACGATAAAAGGTAGCTATCGGATTTCATACGCTAGAATTTAGTTCGTAATACGGCACAACAGAATGCAAGCATTTATCGTGTATCGTATTTATTCATAATAGCGGGAAATGTTTACAAGAAATTTTCCACAAATAAACATAGTAGAATGAAGCTAAAAATTATTCGAAGTCCTTTCAAAAGAGGTTATTTATATTTCACTAGAAAAAAACTTAATGGTTTTTTATAATGCAAACACGCACAATTATTAAAAAATTTATTGTATTAAAATTTCTTGTTAGCACTAGTTTCGATAATTTGATGAAAACAAATTTCATAAGGATTACATTTTTCAGAATGAAGAAAATTATTTACGTCTCACGTTTTATCTTAATAGAATTGTTACACGTACAGCCGATTTCACGAAATTAAACGCAAATATCTCCGAATTTGATTTTCTAACATCTGGCAACCCTTTTCAAAAAACTAAACCACGTAAAAGCAAAGATCTTTAATTTGACACGTGATTGGTGAAAATCGAACGAACGATACAGATTTGATGACATTAACAATAGTGGCGTTAAATATTTAACGCGTTAAATCTCCGAACTCAATTAAGAAGTTTACTTTCAATAAATCCCATATAATTATTAAGAGAAGACGTAAATCATTTCCGTCTTGAAATAAACGTCCGAGAGACGAACAAAATTAAAGGTCCCTTATAATTATTATGAGAAGACGTCTTGAAATAAACGACCCTCGGAACTAAAGAAAATAAAAGTCCCAGATAACTATTAGGATAGACTAAAAAGTTTATAGTCTACCTATTTTCGTCTCAGGAGACGAAAACAACTTTTCCATTGTTCAGCAGTAATTATACAGCAACATTTAATTTTATTTCTTACTATCAGAGCACCCGACGTCGTTCGGGGTAAACAAATCAAAATATAAAACAGTAATACAAATATTCAGTTCAGCATTAATTAGAGGAGAAAAAATATTTTCTTTCTGTTTAAATTAACGCATGCTTATGGTATGGCTTAGCTTTATCGTACTTCAACTAATATGTATTGATCATCACTTTCTGTACTAAAAATCTTGTTCCATTATGAATATTAGCTGGATTAAGGTAACGATAGATTCTTTAAATTAAAATTAGTCTACTATGGTACATTCCGTTTAGCTTCCTATTCGCTTAACTGTTTTAGTATAGCTGCTTATTTCAGAAGTTGTTTTATTCATTATACATGAACATGTTTCGTTTATATATACCTTACTATAAACACCTACCATAGATATGTCTCCATACCAAATTTCAAGGTGGGGCTTATGATTCCGAAGTTAAAGCTGATAAAAAAATTCCACACCTATGGGATGTGCCACGCCCCCTTTTACACACTCATTTATTTACAGCCAACTATAAGCACCTACCATAGCTAAGCATACATGCCAAATTCAAAGTTTATGTGACTTATGCTTTCGAATTTATAGCTGATAAAAAATTCCACTTCTACGGGATGTGGCGGGCCATGCCTCCTTTTACAAACTCCTTCATTTATACTGTACTATAAACTCCTACCGTAGATATGTCTGTATACCAAATTTCAAATTCATGTGGCTTATGGTTTCGAAGTTATAGCTGATAAAATATTCCACGCCTACGGGATGTGCCACGCTCCCTTTTATAAACTCATTCATATACAGCTTACTATAAGCACCTACCATAAATATGCCTGCATAGCAAATTTCAAGTTCATGTGACATATGGTTCCGAAGTTACAGCTGATAAAAAATTACACGCCGATGGGAGGTGCCACGCCCCCTTGTCGAATCCCAATTTTTTTTCTCCCTATTATAGGTCCAGGTGTCATGGCAATACTCAAAAAAAAAATACAAAATTTCGTTCGATTCTGTCCGTCCGTTTAGGCTGCAACCTGGCAAATACATACATACATACATACTTCCACAAATATATAGTAGATATCTATCCTTCTCTTAGCGTAAGATAATTTTTGGGGATATCTCGGTCAAAGGGCCACCTATCGTGTAAGTTTTAAGTCCAAATATTTCTTTCAATTGGCTAAATTGTATTCTAAATATGAGGCAGATCGGCAAGAAAATGCAGTTTTTAGGAATATTCCGACCCTAGCGCCACCTAGCGAGTGCATTTTTGGTCAGAATATTTCTTTTCTTGGTACTGATATATGTTCCAAATATGTATGAACGAAATCGGTCCAGCCATTTGGTAGTTTAGTGACATTCAATATATGTGACCTGGTCTACGAAAAGGGAGCTTACGTGCGAAAAAAGTTTTCTGTGAAAAAGCTGTTAAAAGTGAAAATCATCTCATCTTCCATCCGAATCAACCAAAAAGTGAAAATTGATTTTTTTGACACCTAAGCCCCCTTTCCGTAGACCAGGTCACATATGGAAAACTCTATGAAATTGTGAAATCGTGACGTCCCAGCTATCTTTATTTTTTGGCAACACCAACAAAAAGTTTTGATTTTTTTTTTATCGAAAAACATACAGAAGGTCCAAAAAAGTACTTTTTACAGAATTGAAATAGGTTCAGCCGTTTAGTCAGGCATCGCCGTCATACGAAAAACATTTCATTTTTATATATATAGATTATTGTTTTGGTCTCTGGTTAAAACTTTTTTAAAAGTACATTGCTCACTTCTTTCAGGCGAAATAAAAGAAAAACTTTAAAACCTATAAGTTCATGTTAATGGTCAAGGTAATTTTTCTATCTGCATCTCATAAGCTTTAAAATACTGTTATATTTATTTCGCTACCTCTTCTCGTTTTAGAAATACACACATATGTATTTGATTTTGGTCTCCTTGTTTTCAAAAATAAAGCACTACACGTCATAGCTGAAGACGGTATGCGAGAGCGTGGAAGAATCTTTTACAGAATTAACCAATTTTAGTTTACCTGAAACCTGTGGCCGCCAGTTGTAGAAGCAGCGGAATGAGGCGGTATTAAAAAGGTATGGTTTTTAGGTTAATATTATAGAGTTTGGTATTAGCTATTCGCTCTTTCATAGTAAAAAATCAAATCATATATAAAATTGCAATCATACCTCCCAAATGATGTCGCAAGCTTTACAGACAGGGGAAAAGAGAGGATAGGGTTCGAATAACGGTCGGTTTTTGGTTTCTTTTTGGTGGTATTCTAATGAACGATCGTAATGCAAAAACATTTTCTTCTGTAATTTGTGTATTAGCGGTATTATAAACCTTTAAAGTTTGTCTCGTACGATACTTCTCACTTAGGATGACCCGAATTGTATACTAAAATTTTCAGAATGAATCCTGTCCTACTGTTCATCTCTCTGTTCGGTCATAAAAGCTTAAAAAGACGGCAGCGTTGATCCGGATTAACTCGGACTTAATCCGGATCAACTGCAGTTAATCCCCGAGTTGATCTGGATCAACGCTGCCGTCTGTTCATGCTTTAAGATAACTCATGAAAAAATTGAGATATCAGGGCTCGAATCGTCACATGATATCGTATTACTCGTCACATTTTTCGGATTATGACTTACGTGAACGTACTCATTAGCCCATGCACCTTATACGACTGACGTATCACGTACATCCGTGAACGGATGTTACGATTCCAGCACAGGGCAGGCTGATATTTAAAATTAGTAAAATCGGACAATAACTCCGCCTCATTTAAAAATGCATAGTCTAGAGTGTCCAGACCCTTAAGGGGAAAGTGCAAATAAATGCTTACCATTGAGCGAATTCAAAGATCGCGTTGGAAGCATTTCATAATTCTCACTTCCAGATCCATCCGTACCCATGGTGCTAGACAACATATAACTTTCATGCCGAGGCGGTGGTCTAGGCAGTTGATTTACTGAATTTTCTAAAGTGCCTTCTCCGGAGTCCAAAGTTATTGACTCTTCCACGTGTAGATTCTCAACTTCGTACTTATTTTCCCAGACATTTTTCAAAAATGGAGTGTAGAAAGCGACTAAAGTAGAAAACATTACATTAAATAACTAGAAGCATCTCATAAACTTACACTTGACATATTGATCTGCAGAAAATGTCATGAAATTGCCTTTGCATCTGTCAGCCAAAGAATTTCCTTCTGTTATTAGAAATTGACAAATTTCACTGCTAAAAAAAGCATTTGCGCCTCCACTTTCAGTTATTGCGATTATTTGTAATGGAATGTTGGAATTTTGTGCGGCTAAAACACTGAAAAGTATACGCATATGTGAGTGGTAGGCGATAAGAAACTTAATTGAAACTACTCCAACTCTAAGGAAGTAGATATGCTGCAGAATATATTTAAATGCTCGTTAAATGAATCTGTATGTACAATTACCTTAAATTAGCAAACGAAGATCTACGTTTTCCAGAATAAAAATAGATATACCCATGAATCAGTTCTTCGCGATATTGATTAATACCATGGTAAGACGATAGGATAAATTCAATCCGCTTCTTTGAGTCTCCTATGAACACGTCAATCAAAATTGAGTGTTCTGACGATTTGCAATTTGTTGATTCAGCTATTAATGGGTTCACAATGTTTTCAATATCGTATTGGTCGCCACAAAACATACAAACAAGTATACGTAGATCAATGTGATTTGTGGAATATGAATCTAAATTTTTCATTTCTGAAAGTCTCAAAGAAAGTATAACAATATTAAGAATATCGTAAACATATTTTTGTTGATTTTGTTGATGGTCAATAAAATCGCAATGCAGCATTTCAGACAATCGTAATCCTTCATTACGCAGGTACTCAACTTCATTTTCTTTTAAATCTTGAGGTTGATACACTAAAACGATGGGTAAATTTTCAAACTTGTCCTCTAATTCCAAATTGCATAATAATGTGCGTTCTAGGTTATCCTTAAGTGTTTCAAATGATTGTTGATTTGAGTAAACACAAATTAAACCTATAGAATACATTTACATGATTAACAAAAGACATAGAATTATCATTTACGAACGTACCACTCGAATGGACGTCAATTGACTTAAATGCTTCCATATCTCCATTAGCAATGCGATAATTTAGGTAATAAGTTTGATTCTCATACACGTATTCCCCTTTAGATCCAGTGCACATCCGAATATCATTGAGCAAATCACTAGCCAGGTGCTCGGACCCGACAATAAGTAAATTCAAAGTTCTGTCGGAGCTCGAACACTTCCAGTTGCTGGAACCTTTTTTATTTGGGGACTTGTCTACTAAGCATTCGTCTACTAAACTGTCAATGCAATTGTGGAAGAATGGGCAATGTTCGCGTATGGGACAGTGTATAAAGCCTAAATGCTGAAACAGGATCACTCTTCTCTCCTGGTCTAGCCTATCCAATATCTTGTATCTAAAAAAAGGAATTACTTTTATTCATATTTACATACATCTACGAATAATAACTAATAGTGTTTACGTTTCTACCAAAAACATTCGCCTTTTGATTGCTCCTTTCTCTTGCGTGTTCGATTCTAAAATAAAGACAAACGGTAAGAAAATTCTGGGTTCGTTACTTAAAATGTCACACTCTTGTAAAGCAAAAGATGCACATTCTCTGCCGCTTTAAGCTTTGCCAGGAGAAATGGTTGTCCTGAAAATCAGATGGTTGCGCAAAACGACAATATTATGAAATGAGTTAGCTGGAAAAGGGGCAACAAGGTAAAAAAAATGCCCTTTTACAGGGTTGAGTGTAACACCAAACACATTTTTCACCGTAGAAAGGCAACATTTTTTGGAAGAAACGAAATCACAATAAGTAAAAATTACAATAAATATTTATCTCGTAACCAATGTTATAAGGACCGCCTTTCTCTTTATTCACTTTGCACTTTCAATAAGTTTTCTAGTTATATTTAGATGGATTAAATGAAAGCGAAAAACAAAATGAAAGAAATTTGCTGGTAAATTCTTATTAAAACTCTATCCAGAATTACAGCGTACGACGGTAAAGCGGTCGGCGGTAAGTGAACAGCGTTTAGTTGCCGCAGTGGAATCCGTCCTAGTAAACACAATTGCGGCAGACCATGGCGCAATAAACAGGTGAAGTAATAAACAGCTTTATCGCTTTATTTTCTGACATTTGTCTGCCTTATAGTCAAATTTTAAAGGCAATTTTTCAAATTAGGCAGTGTCAAAATCGCTCTAATTACTTCACGTGGTATAATTCCGCTATGGCGGCAGACGACGGCTTCCGCAAGCTGTCTTTTTTACTTGGTAATTATCATTAAAGTGACATTTTTTTCCGTACGTGCGCAAACGTAGATTTGCTGGAAATAAAAATGGATGCCAACAATTGAAAACTTCTGAAAATAATAAAAATTATAAAAATCCACACACAATCAACAGTGTGCCGCCACGGGGCGGTAAAAATAGAAATATATTTAAATCAACCGAAAAACGTTGGCGGTGAAAACGCTGCCGCCGCAATTATATGACATTCCATATGTGTTGGTGAGTTTTAATTTTGACAGCGGTCAACCGCTTTACGGTCGCCCGCTGCAATTTTGGGTAGAGCTTAATATGTAAATACATACATACATATGATGTGTACTGGAGCAGCTGAAAGCAAAAAAACTGCATAATCTCGGAAGCGGTTCAAATAGCTCCAATTTTGATGACCCTTTTTGTTAATATACAGTGACTGGCACACCTTCCCAAGGTGATTTTATTTTAATCAGCCTCTTTGCGTACGTCGTAAATTAGACTAAAATCACGAGCCGGCAAGAATGGCTTTGCTTATTGTCGTGCAGAAATAAGTAGACGACGAAAACTGTCGACCCCTATCCAGTGCTGTCAAGTTTTACCATTTTAATAAACTAGTCGAATCGAATTTTTAGGCAATACAATCAGGGCTATCACAGAATCCATCGTAGGCTCAATTTTCGTGAAATCTACGAAAGTGCTATCACTGAATCCGAATGGCTACGAATGTAAATTCGAAATTCATAAAGCCTCATTGAATCCGTTCGTAAAGAAGATTCGTACAGATACTCTACGATAAGTTTAAAATCGCTGAATCATAAAAATAATGCAAAAAAGCTGCATATTGGCCCTAACAAATATTTATTATGCTCCAAATTTGTTATAGAGGCATTGCATGTCACCGCGGCCACCTCTGTGCGCGACCGTCTTATTATGGGCTTTATTTGTACATTTTTTACATTAATGTGCAACGTATAAAAAAAAAACAAAAAAAAAAAAGTAAACATTTTTCTTTTTGATTTTTTTTTTTGATTATAGCATTTTTAAAATCTTTTATTTTTACATAAAAACATTGTCCATAATGTCAACTTTAAGTACCCAAATGGGCGTAATGGGCTACTTATGCGTATGGACTCTAGATCGTCAAACGCTCGAGCAATATGATAAATAGACATTGAAATTTTATGAAATTGTATATTTTTGAAGGAGGAAAGGTGTTTAAAAAATAAAAACAATATGAATAAATGATATTAACTTTACTAAATGAAACCGAAACATCAACAATACTCAATGCAAAAGAATATCAGACCTCCAATGATAGCTTCAAGGTTAGTCCTTTTATTAAAACAAGAAACAGGAAAGGCGTGTAAAAAAAATAAACCTAATGAGTAATAAAATTATAGTTTAAAAAAACCAACAACACGCTTTTATTACAATAAGAACTAAAAAGAAAAACATTATTTATTGATTTAAAGATTCGTTAAATAAGGATATGAAGTTCCCTAACTTGATGTTATTTAACCTTTCAAACTAGCTTAAAATAGGGTTAAGGTAATTGGCACGTAGTCATAGTCGAAATAAAGGCCACTGAAAGGTTAGTTGCAGTTATTTTTTACAGGCATCCCATTGAAAACATAAAGTACCCCATTGGTAGAGGGCTTCGGGTGTACGAATTTGTTGTAACATCAGGAGTTGAAGACTTGCTCTAGCTGCTAGTCTCTTAAAATTTCCTGCAATCGTGCCGTAAGCAGATTTCCCATGTGAACTTGCAACAAAGTTCAATTCTGCCATTTCCTTGAAGGGATTTTCATGATTTCAGACCTTTAGTAAAGTTAATGTCATTTATTCATATTTATTTTTTACACACCTTTCCTCTTTCAAAAATATACAATTTAATAATATATTTCAATGTCTATTTATCATATTGCTCAAGCGTTTGACGATCTAGAGTCCATACGCATAAGTAGCCCATTACGCCCATTTGTGTACTTAAATCTGACGTTATAAATAAAAATAAAAAATGCTATAATTAAAAAAAATCAAAAAGAAAAATATTAACTTTTTTTTTGATTTTTATACGTTGCACATTAATGTAAAACATGTACAATTAAAGCCCATAATAAGACGGAAGAAATACATTTTTTTCATATACAGTGTTATCTGGCTGGAGTGAACACCCGATGCTACGAACACCTCGAAAGAGTGAACATGAAAATTTTTCCATTGAGTACTCTATAGAGTGAACAATTTTGAGTCTTTGTAGAGTGAACAAAAATTAAAACCAGTTCCTTCCAAGTTCAAAACTGTAACGACAATTTTAATAACAAAAGGCTAATCACGAATTGGGAAATCAGGTGTATGCTCGTATATGTTTGTCAAAAAATGCCACGTAGGTGAGCGTAAATTCCGCAGGGTTGTCACTGCCCGCTTCTTTCCAGCAGGATGCATCTCGGACTCCCGTCCGAATTTTCTTGCTGAAGCGGAGCGATGCGCGAGCTATTTTAGCCGACAGTTCATACTGCATCCTCCAGCAGACAAAGCCAAACGTGGAGTAACCAGAAGACTGCACAAACCGCCAGCACCAAGTGCGCCTCTTGTTTTCACCAGCAGCAAAGCAAGGATAGCCATCGGAAAGGTGAAAGCCTCCAAAGCCATTGGACCCGACGGAATTTGCATGCTGATGCTGAAAACTTTGGCTCCTGCTGGATGGTATCTCTCATCAAAGCAGGCATCTGGAAAATAGGGAGAGTGGTTCCACTGCTTAAACCGGGTAAGCCGTCCAACAAAGGAGAGTCTTCTCGCCCGATAACTCTCCTTTCCCCGGTAGCGACGACAGTAGAGGCCCGTCTACCCCCGCACTATACAAATCACCTGACCTCAGCGAATCATCAGCATGGGTTCCGTTAAGTGCACAGCACAACAATAGCACATGACTCCATAAAGACCCAGATAACTCGTAGCCTTAACCNTTTATGTATGACGTTTTCTTAAAATTTAAGTTCCGTGTAAATTGGCAACCCTACTTGATATCGGCAAAATATGCTGCACGTATATTCATGTCGCCTAGACCTTCAATCTCTTCAACTTTCATCCAAATCCTGAGAGGTCGCGCACAGAGGTGGCCGCGGTGACATGAAATGCCTCTATAAATAGTTTGATTAATTCCGTCTATTTGAGTAAACGTAGACGTAAAATATCAATGGCTTACATACATACATATGTACATTCATCTGCTGAATGTATTTAATAAATGAATATTTTTTTCGAAGCGAGGATATATTAGTTTAACTACAATTTATAAGGAAGGAAACCCAATCACTTTAATATCATACAAATTTAATTAAATAAAGGTGCTCGTAAACGATGAGAGTAAATACCTTGAGAGTTCCACCATACACGTACACGGATTCTCACTGGTATTTTGTTCTTATGAGTTTTTTTGGTAAGAAAAATCTCACTCGTTCTCATGTCTGTTTACACGAGGAGCTCAAACGCGGTTTGAAAGTAAAATATGTAATAATAAATGAAGTTATGCAAGAATTACACAATACAAGATTTGCAGTGACAAAAAAGTGGAAATAGAATAGCTGACTTTGCCGAATTCGCCAGGAATAAAGTAACGGTACTGTTGTTTTGTCATTCAGGTGTCGTGAAGAATGTTGAATAGACGCAAAAAATTACTTTTGGGTTTCCTGTCCCTATATGAAGATAGAAAACAAAAAGAGGAAGAAAGTGATAATTTATTTTCCGTCGGTCCATTTATATACTTATGTAAATCTTGCTATGCATTTACCATTCATCATTTTGCTATTGTTGGGAACATTTGCATTTTGTCTTGAGTTGGAAGTTGAAAAAGTAAAAACAAAATTGAATACGTTGGGTGTAAGAATTCTCAGGCTGTGTTGTTCATGAATATTAACTCATATTAAAATAATTCATATTTTTTTTTAGAAATAGGTTCAAATTTAATATAGGTTCAAATTTAAAAGGCTAAATAATGGGTACAATTCTACTTGCATTTAAATCATTATTTCACATCACATGTTCGCGTTTCCTTTTATTCTTTAGAATTTATTCTTTGCTCCCTCATTCCCTCACTTTTATGACATCACAACCGGTTGCTCACAGCTTGATTTGCGCAATCTTGTT